AGCTAAATCTTATCATAATACTATGTCTAATAAGACTCGATTGACTAGAGTTAATGGGACATGCCCTAGCTAACCCTAGCAAAACTGAAAACTGAACGAAAAGACTGAATATGAAAAGAAAATTTTTATTGTCCTAAAAGTATGATGACTCGTCAATGAAAATACTGGATATAAATCTATGTGTGATCTGGGATACGGAATACTTGAACCTTCATCATGAAAGGATGTAGCATAAAACATGTACTTGGAATGTACTGCATGCAGGATACAAATAATATATGTACAAATATATAGGTTAGACAAAGCATAGTAAAGCAATGACATAATCTAAACATAATGTAAATACTGAATTTTTAACTGACAAATGAGTTGAATGAAATGAACAAGTATTGGTTATGAACATGACATGCTGAGACTGAATACTGAAGTATAAATTGAAAACCTAGTCAAATGCACTAGAGTCTTACTGTGGGAGCTACAATAAATCGACATAAAACCACGTGAGCCAAACCCAAAGTCCGAGGTATACACCTTATAAAGAGGGCCAAATAAACCTTGCTATGAGTATAAAGGTATGACTGGCGTGATCACTAAATCTGATGTCATAAGAGGGGACTTATAATCCTTAGAGGCACGTAGTTATGGGACTATGAGGGCAGTCTTAACCCTAGTCCAACTTGGTGCTAATTCTACTGACAATGTATTATTCAAAATCTGAGGATTGTTTATTTGTTTAACTAGCCTAGCAAGTGTAATTCATGAACTAAGAAAATTTTTCACAACATGAGTTTTGAGTTTCATGCAAGGAACCAAGAAACGTTTCCAGAAAACATAATAATTCGATTAAGAATACTATAACTAATAATTCACAACAATTCCCAAGGTTAGAAAACTATATAAATAATCAAGAATCTAACTGAATTGTAGGGACCTAGTGGATGCAAGGAACCCACTAGTGAAATCCCACATACCTGGTGACGAAATCTAAAATGAAATCCTTTGACTTTGGGGGTGGAACTTGAAGAAAACCTTTTTCTTGTTCTTGAGAGGTTTGTAGACTTTCCTCTTCTTTTTGCTCTAAGTTTTGTCTAATTTTGGTCAATAATCAATTAGGGTAAGTTCTGACTTAATTACTAGGTTGAGACTGAGTAAAACGACATAGTTTAAATGTCCAACACTTAAGGAAAAAATACTAAAAAGCCCTGACCGAAAATCTAACGGATGCAAACCAGGACACCAATAACTGTCCGTCGTTGGGACCACGACCCATTAAGTGGGTTGATCATAGTAGTGAATCATTTGTTTACAATTCATGAAATTGGGACATATGTACTCCTTTAACAAGTATATGTATATAATCACAAAAACATTATGTATATGTGGATGAATATATAATTTTTAATTTACAATTTTATACAGGCTACAAATTGTATATAGTAATATGGGACAAACGTGCATCCCGCGTTCCCAAAACTAGTAAGATACAAGGTTACAGTCAAACTAAATAAAAAACAAAACAAATAAAAAGTAAATTATTAACTTTCGGCCTGAAAAATTATAATAATGTAATGGGCAAAGGGTCAAATATATCCTTATACTAAAGGAAATAGTTTATGTATATTCTTCGTTTTACTTTTGGTCCAAATATACCCCTCATGTTATACTTTGAGTCCAAATATATCCCTCTCATTATACTTTGATGTAAATATACCCTTAATTTTTACAGAAAAACATGTGACAAACTTAAAATAAAATTATTTACTCTCAATTTGCTTAGGAACTAACTTGTGCAACTCATTCCCTCCGTTTGAGCTGTTATTTTCATTTTCCTATTCATTTTCTATTGGAAAATTGCATAAATATCCCCGACCGAAATCATAGAGACACATCTAAACATAAATAGAGTCCTATTACCCACCTAAACTAATTTAAAGTGAAATGAGTGCACCACGAACACTGACATGTCCTAGAGAGAATGCACACTGTTTTAATATTTTTATGTTTTGTTTGATTTTATTCACGTATTTCGATATCTGTTCAAAATTAACTTATTTTAAATACAAGACATTTGAAATCAAATTAAAACGAAAGACAAAAAAAAACTCAATAGAAAAATAAAAGAGGAAAAATGAATGCAAGTAAAATAAAAAGTTTCAATACAAGGTAAAAAATTGTTAACTTAATTCAAATACAAGATAAAAAATAAGAAAATGTTTCTTCTATTAATTAAAAATTATTTTTTAAAGAAATTACATTATATTATTTTTTAAAAATAAAGAATTTTTTTATTTTATTTTAAAAAAATTATTTTTCATTAAAATAATTATTTACACACATGACGGGCGAGTGTGTACAAACACAACCAATTTGGGTGGTCGAAGGTGTCACATTAGTACACAAGGTGCACAAAAATACGAATAAAATTAGTTTAGGAGGTAATAAGATCTTAGTTAAGTTTAGGTGTCTCTGAGATTTCACTCATAGTCTAAGGGATACTTATACATTATCCCTTCTCTAGTTTTAAACTTTTGTACTAGAAATAATAAAATAGAAAGGGGCCTAAAATACCCTTGAAGTGTTGAAAATGGTATACAACTACCCCTCATCTATCGATTGACTTCAAAATACCCTCCTCATCTACCTATTCACTCACAAATACCTTTTTCATCCATCTTTTGGTCCAATTTTAGACACTTCAATAATATAGACCCATTTAAACTAATTAAATAATCTATTTAATTATGTGGCGCTCAACCATTGGTTGACATTTAATTATTTAATATAATTTTAAACTTATCCATTACCCACCAATTTTTCACTAAACCTGCCCCAATACATAATGAACTCGCCAGACCCAATACAAAAAGAACCCATTATCTTCATGATAGACCTGGGTTGGACCTTCTAGATGATGGTGTTAACTAGTGAGTAGTTCGGTTTGAAAGACAAATGGGTTTCACTTTATGTTATTGAGTAGAAACTTAATTGACTTGCATTGGTATTTGGGAATATATTGCAAATAAGTGGTGTCGGCATTCTTAATTACTTAGGCTAAGAAATGATCATTTCTCCTATTACAAGGAAAAAACTACTAGTGAGTTTCTATTTTTATTTCCTTTTTTGCCAAGAAATAATTTTATCGAATAAGCTGCACCACCGAGGAGGTAATGAGTGTATGTAGAAAATTCACTAGACTTGACTCTTCTATGCAACCAAGGAATCAATGAAGTCCAATGCAAGAATTATGTTTTCTTTCCCCTTAGAGCATCAGTCATTTCCGCTAAACCCATGCAAAAGATAAACTTCTTGGTGCATAGCTGGTGATAATGCTTTATTCTTTACCATTGCACATTGAACTCTGAGTCACTTGTCTTTCTTCTATGAGATCACGATTCCATTTACATTATATGTTTTTTATGGGAAGCTCTGTTAGTTCTTTTAAAGGTTCAATTTGGTTAAGAAATAAGAGTGGGTTCTTTTTGTATTGGGTCTGGAGTATTCAATAAGTATTGGGTGGATTTAGTTCAAAATGGGTGAGTAAGGGTAGGTTTAAAACTATATTAAATAATTAAAGTTCAACCAATGGTTTAGCGCCATATAATTAAAAGGATTATTTAATTATTTTAAATGGTGCTCCATTATTGTACTGACTAAAATTGGACCTAAAGGTGGATGGAGAGGATATTTGTGAGCCAATAGGTTGACGAGAAGGGTATTTTGGGTCCAATAGGTGGATGAGGGTTAGTTGGTACTATTTTCAATACTTCGAGGGTATTTTAGGAACTTTTTCGATAATAAAATATGCACATCACACAACATCATTGTTCTGCATTTTCCCCTTGCAAATTAAAAATCTTCAATTTATTTCTACAAGGGGAAATTCACAAGTACACCCTAGAATATGACCAAAATTTAAGAGACACATCTTAACGAAACTAAGGTCCTATTACCCCCTGATCTTAGTTTTATTGTTATTTTGTGAACCTTATGTCTTATGTGACACACTCCATGATTCCACGCAATTGACGCACGTGAGAGACATTTGAATACCACGTAAGCCAAAAAGGTGTACAAAATTACAAAAAGAAAAAAAACTTTAGGGGGCAATAGGATCTTAGTTTAGTTAAGGTGTGTATTTGTGATTTCGGTCATAGTCTAGGGGTAGTAGTACATTTTCCCTTTGTATAAAATTAATCATTGTACCACATGTTCTTACTATTATAAAAGTACAAGAAAATTAATGAACGTAGGGAGTCATCGATTTTTGGATTCTGAAAATTCTTAGAACATATCTCAATAATGGTTTTTCTTTGATTAATATTGACAATTTTAGAAGAGGTTAAGAATGATAATTTTTTATTTAGAAAAACCTCAATTCGACAGAAAGAAAAATCATATTAGTTTTTGAATACGATAAATTATTAGATTCTTTTAAAAAGAAGCTACTTAGAAAGGAATTCAAAAAGGAGGAAATGAGTTCCTAAAAAAATTAAATATTTGAAATTCGAGATGAATTATTTGATTTTGAGTTTGTCACGTGTTTTTCGTTAAAATTGAGGGTAAATTTGTGTCAAAGTATAATCAAAAGGGTATATTTGGACCTAACATAAAACTAACTGTATATTTAAAATATTTCCAATAATAGAAGGGTAATATTTGACCATTTTCCCTAATATAATTGTAAAAAATATGGTTGGTAAAATTTTCTTCTTTCCAAATTGTGTATAATTGGATTTTAAAAGGAAAACAAAAACTGTTCCTATATCAAGTCAGAAATTTGATTCCTTAATTTTTGACTCCAAAGGGCCACAAAATCAAATGTCCTTCGTTTGTGAGCACAAATCAAATGTTCCTACAAGAAATCAGACATCTCTCCAATCTCTATTTGTTAGTGGATCTGATTGGTAAGCTTCTCCTTCTATTGTCTTTCTATATATGAGATTATATATAAAAAAAATCCGGTTTTGTTATAAATATTTTATTTCCTGATTTGTGGTTAGGGTTGATATTTGAGATGTCTTTGTTTTCAAATGTAATGAGTAGATTTCCTTGTTCTGCTGTGTTCCAAATTTTATCCATTATCCTTCTACGCTAAATTCACAGGGTTACAAGCTATAATTTGTCCAAGTAAGTTGTCCAATTTTTCTTTTTTGGTTTTACATACTTTGATTTGTCTTTGTTCAGCAAAATAGGATTGTAATTTGTCTTTTTCTTCTATGTTAGGATCCAAGAGTCCTTTGTTCCGCTGCAGGACTTTGATAAAGGCAAGGATGGCTAAATCTCCAAGAACTGTGAGGTTTGCCTCACTATTTTTCTTATTAGATCTTCCATGAGATGTCATGGATTTCTCACTTGCAAATATAGGCTGAATTACCGAGTTCCAGTGAATATTGACAAGTTTATCATTAATTAATATGTACAAAGAGGTTGCAAGAGGATCCGTAAATCCTAAATCCTAAACCCTAAACCCTAAACCCTAAACTATTTCCCACGTAAACAAAATTGGTACTTTTTTATTGCTTTAACCCTGATCTCCCTAGCTACAATATAAGCAATGATCTATTCCACCGTATTTCCCAAAATAACCAGTCCCATTCATAGACCCGTCAATAATCAAAACTCTTCCATGATCTTACCAAAAAATCCACTCACAAGAATCTCCACTCATAAATGGTTCCCTCATACCTCCATATCTACTTTCGATAAAGGAACTAAGCCACCAAACAGAAGCATGAAGAACAACACACCAAGGAAGCTAACACTAGCAACCTTCTTTGTTTTCACCTCACTCTTCTTTTTCTCCACTTTCTTTCTACTAGTTGATGCGGGCACTATTGCCTGTGGTTTCAACTTTGGAATTGAAACCAATGTCACTATCCTAGTTGCTTCAACATATAAGGTGGTGTATATGACATCCATGGAGGAGGATGGGAATACATCCTGGGGGTGGCTGCACTTGAGGAGCTACACCAGTACCTCCAAGTTGTGCATTTTCTGTTGTTTCGTAGGATATATTTGCATTCAAATGTTGAATTGGTGAATGAAGTATTCTAACTCCTCAACATTATGTGTTTTTCATTACCTTGACAAGTGAGCACTTTCCCCTTTTATCTAGCCGTCTTTTTTTTCCCTCATCATTATTGACATTATCACTCAAGATTGTTTACATTATTTGAGTATTCACTATGTTTTTTCCTTTTCAAAAAATAATTACATTAGCATTGAGTTTTCGTTCTACAACTCCACCTTTTGCTGAATTACTTCCTATCTTCAGGGAAGAATTTAGCAATCTATTAGAACTCAACAAATTATTCAACCCTTTTGAGAGATTGGTACCACAATTCATTGATGGCACGTTCAAGTACCCGGAGACATTGGTAAAAACCTAGTGCAACAACACAAACACTTCATCCAAAACTCTTGAGCTGCTCCAACTACGCAGTAGCCCAGGCGATGACATGTACTTAACCTTCTCAACTACCACTTCCTGATTGGGGGTAAAATTTCTCAATTCCCCCAACGTCAACTTGAAATTTCTATAATAATCGCTATAATTCCTAATTAATTCATCGTAGGTTGACTAAAGCAATTAGGGCCCATACGAAGCAAGTTTGATCCCGTAGCTTCCCCTTGGCAATCTCTCGAGGTTGACTTGACAGTTCCAAAAGCATCATCAAAACTCCCTATTGGTTACCAAAGATATTTGGGTCCATCTGACCGGAGTCCAAACCCGACTCTGTCCCAAGATAGTCAGGTATGTATCTAGGTGTTTACAATGCATCATTATTAGTAGGGTTTCGAAAAATATCATTGAACGATGCATAAAAAAAGATGTCATCAGTTAGGAAATTAATGTTCCATAATTTTATTAAAAAATCATCAATATTTTCTTGATATGTTGTAGTTGACGTGTAGGGCGTAAAAAGTATTTAGCAATTGATCAAAGATTTAACGAGAGGCAGAGTAGGAATAGAGAGGAAATTGTCATTTACTTTTCTTTTATAGCTTTATCTTTTGAGATTGTTCACATTGATATATTAGATTTTGTAGATATTATATCTTAGAAACAAAAATTAAGATCCTTAAAGTTTCAAAAAATGAATTTGTAAGGTAGTTTCGTCAGTTGATTATGTGTATTTTACCACTAAGAGCATGTATGGATACAAGAATCCTATTTTCAATGATAGAACCTTGAGGAAAGATTGCTATTTTTCAATGAAGTAAGGGGTGTAAGTATGTGATCAAAGAACTATTTAGTTCTATTTATTTACTCTATGCCTCTTATTTGAGACATGGAAGTTCATAATCTATAGTTCAGTGACTAGTATATCTTATAAAAAATGAATCTTTCTAGTTAAATCAAGAACAACTAAGAAAGAAAGTTGAATATTAGAAAACGTCCTACACATGACCGCAACATTTTTTTAAGTCCTACACATGAAATCAACATACTTTTTACGTCCTACGCATGACCACAACATATTTTATATGTCCTACATATGACCGCTACATTTGAAAAAAACATCGATAATTTTCAATGAAATTTTAGAAGTTAAATTTCTCAATTAATGACATTATTTTTTATGCATCATTTGATGATACTTTTTCAAACCCTATCGATGATGATGCATTCCAAACGTCTAAGTACATTCTTAATTGTCTCAAGTCAAAGCTAGGTTTGAAATCAGATTAGATGGACCCAAATAGCTTTGGTCAACCTTGGAGTCAACTGATGGGAAATTTTGACGATGCATCTTGAACATTTAAGTCAACCTTGAGAGATTGTCTCGGGAAGCTCTAGCATCGAACCCATTCCGAGTGGCCTTTTATTGCTTATGTCCAGCTGGAAATGAATTGATTGGAAATTTTAGCGTTTCTGTTAGAAATGTTAAGTTGACATTGAAGGAAATGAGGAATTTTTCTTGAAATCAGGCAGTGGAGGTCTGGTGGTTATGGACATGTCATCGCCGGGGCTACTTCATAGTTGGAGCAGCTCATGATTTTTGGATGAAGTGCCTCAATCGTTGCACCATGTTTCTACGGATGTTCCCGGGTACTTGAATGTTCCATCTCCAAATCATGGTCCAATCTCACAAAAGAGCTGAATAATCTGTTAGATTTGAATAAATTGGTACACCTTCTCCAAATTTAGGAAGTAATTTAGTAAAAGGTTGAGCAGTAGAAAATAAATTCATCTCTAATATAAGGAAATGTAGCTATTTGTTGAAAAGGAAGAAGGGTAGTAAACACTCAAACAATGTAAGCAAACACCAAAATTTCACAATATTTTCCTTGAGTGACATTATTAATAATTCACTATATTTAAGAATAGGAAAATTTTTATCATGAGTGAGGTACAGTTACTAGTTGTATGAGGAGTTATTTTATTGCTATTATATTTTTTGGGACCCAAGCTTTATTGTTCTTTTTGCCTTTTGTTTCTCTTTCGCATTTCTCGTTTTCTCTAGATTAATTAGGAATAAGGGAGTGTTCACTTGTCAAGTCAAATAAAAATGCATTATGTGGAGGAATTATAGTACAAAGATAGCATACTTCATTCAACATTTGAATGCAAAGATATTTTATGAAATGGCGGAAAATGTAAATCTAAAGGCACAACTTTGAGAAAATGGTGTACCTCCTCAAGTGGCGCCACCCCCTGGAATGTATCCCCATCCTCTTCTTATGGATTTCATTGTACAACCTTGTTTGATGAAGCCACAATGACACAAGTGTCATTGGTTCCCATTCCAAAGTTGAAACCACAAACAGTAGCGCCCGTGACAAAAAGTAGCAAGAAAGTGGAGAATAACTAGAGTTAGGTGAAAATAGAGAACGTTGCTAGTTGTAGCTTCCTTGGTGTGTTATTCTTCACGCTTCTCTTTGGTGGGTTGGTTCATTTATTGAAGGTGATATATGGATGTATGAGGGAACCAATTATGAGTGGAGATTCTTGTGAGTTGATTTTTTCATAAAGCATCATGGAAGAGTTTTGACTATTGATTGTCCCGTGAATGGGACTGGTAATTCTCGGAAATACAGTGAAAAAGATCATTCTCACTTTTTGGACAGGGATTCAGGGTGAAAGCAATCAGACAAGTACCAATAAGGCTATGGATGAGTTTATTTACGTGGGTTGTTGTTTGATCCTCTGGCAGACTTTTTGTATGTCCTGGGGAATGATACACTTTTAAGAATATGCAGGGGATATTCTTAAAAGGTTAAAGCCTGTACCAACCCACTAATTCACAGTGAAAAGGTTTCAAATTTTGAACGAGGCTAGGGCTGATCTAACAATTTAGAGAAGTATAATTAGTAGTATGTTGTATTTGATAGCAACAAGACCTGATCTCATGTTCACGACAAGTCTTCTGTTGAGGTTTATGATAGATCATTTTTGTATTGCTAAACGAACATTGATATATATCAAAGGAACTATTGATTATGGTATTTGATTTAAAAAGGAAGAGCAAGGGAAATTGATGGGTTATTCAGGTAGTGATTGGGAAGGAAGCTTGATTATATGCTTTTGCAAAGAAGAAAGAAGTGGTTGTTCAATCTTCTGGGAAAGCACAACATATTCTCGTTGCTGGTGCAACTTATCAAGTTCTATGGTTAAGAAAGATTCTATGTGATCTGGAGAAAAATCTTATTGAACCTATTGTCATTAAGAATGACAACATCTCAACAATAATTATGGTGCATAAAAAAGTGTAGTTTCATCCTATTTAGGCATGCAGAGAAGGATGGGGAAGTTACACTTGTTCATTGCAGCTTAGATAAGTAAATTGCAAACATAATGATCTTGGCTCTTCATAAGGGAAATTTTAAAGTTCTAAGGGCTACGTTTGGAGTATCCAAGAAAAATATCAAGGAGGAGTGTTTGAAAATGAAATATTTTTTTGATAATTCTTTGTAAAGGAAAGGTCACCTTGTTTTATGGAATATATCTTGTAAGAACATACACTAGTGGTTCAATAGGTATGGTTTCTACTAACTTTCTTTAAAAGCTTTTATAGCTTTAAGTGTGTTTGCATTTTGTAATTTTAAAGCCAATGATGACTACGACAAAGACAGAGGGAGAGATTTCAAAAAATCCGATGTAGAATGTTATCGTTGCTATAAATTTAGTCACTGTCATTCTGAATGTCGTACTAGGATGCCTAGTGAGAAAGAAGAGAAGTCAAATTTTGTTGAGGATAAAGAAGGAGAAACCTTATTAATGGAGGTTCATGCTAAGGTGAGTCTCGAGAGCAAGTTATTTTGGTATATATGTGAATACCGCCAGTTGTAACAATATGACTGGAAGTAAGTCTTCTTTTACTAATTTAAGCGAAAACGTTTAGTCAACAGTTAGTTTTGGGTAAAATATCAATTTTAGAACAAAAAATAGGTGTGTGGAAGTCATATCAAATCTGTTGAGAGTTGTTCTCGTCAGCTGTTACAAAAAAGGGTATGTCATCATGTTAAGGAATGATACATGTGAAATTTCTAGTCCCCCTAGACGATTTATTGATTTTGTGAAAATGAGTCAAAACACATTGTTTCCTTTGAATATTGAAAATGTTCAATCTTGCTACTTGGCGGAAATGATCTTTCATGGTTGTGGCATTTTTTATATGGTCACTTGAATTTTGGTGGCTTGAAGATCCTTCAAAGGAAGAGTATGGTGATAGGGCATTATGAAACTGTTGTTCCTTCTCAAGTTTGTGAAGAATGTGTTGTTGGAAAACAACGTCGTATCAGTTTCCTAATAGTAAGTCATAGAGATCCAATGAGGTATTAGGTTAGTACACTCGGATGGCTGTGGGCCATTAACACCAATCTCTAATGGGGGCAAAAGGTATTTTATTACCTTTATTGATGATTATTCGAGGAAGACTTGGGTGTACATTCTGAAAGAAAAATCAAAGGATTTTAATGTATCTAAAAGCTTCAAAGTGTGTGTGGAGATTGAGACTAGAAGGGCCATTAACAGCCTTCTGATAGATCACGAAGGAGAATATTTCTCTAAGGTATTTGATGAATTTTGTGAGACTCGTGACATTTTAAAAGAGCTTAGAACACATATACACCACAGCAAAATGGTGTGACCGAGAGGAAGAATAGAACTATTCT